TTGGTAAAGCCTTCACAGCGTCGAGGTTAATGCCGCGGTTTTTTTCTCCCCGTTATGAAAACAGCATAAATATCGCCCCTACCATTTATGGATCGTTGGGGGGGGGGAGTTTGTGTCTTTTGTGCTCTTCATAAAAACTTTCTAGAAAATGTTCACCGTACGCACGTTTCGTGTGTGTGCGCCGTATGCATGTGGAGCTGAGAGTCTCCGCTGATTGGTCGTCATGATGGCGAGAATTACAAAACTCGGAGAAACATGCGTCCTGGGTGGACACAGAGACACGGGGACACGGGGAGACATTGAGACACATGGACATGGAGGCAGAGGGACATGGGCCTGTGGAGACGCAGGGACATATGGACGTGGAGATGCAGCGACACAGAGCCACGGAGACGCAGAGACACGGGGACGCAGAGACTCGGGGACACTTGAGACACGGGGACACTGAGACACGGGGACACCGTGCACCATTGGTGTGGACGCCGCCCCCCCTGGCCCCGACTCGAACTCGTACCACGCTGCGTCGCTTCCACGATTCACGGCAGGGCCAGCGGAGGACGGCACCCGGAGTTTTGCTGCGTGAACGACGGTCGGTGCGACCGTGGGGGCAGAGCTCGGTAGCCCCGCGGAACGCAGCACAGCGGCGGTCGCTCTGTGCTTGTGCCGCCCTAACCTGCCACGACGTTTTGCATCGTTTATTGATCTTCAGAAATAATGCGATCGATCGGGAGTAATATAATTTGTACAATTTCCAAAATACAATAGAATAATTCGACCATAGTTTACTGAAATATATCATATATATCAAAATCAGAATTTTTTTTTTATCCTGGAGGAATCCAATGAGCCATGAAGATTTTTTTTCACAGATGTCCACAAGGATAATTACTCGAACAGGTACTGTCACATTTCTGTGAATGTTTTTCACGTTCAGGCCAGACAACGGCGTCAGGAGCAGCAGCAGCAGCAGCCGAGTGTTATCGCCGTGATGGCTCCTTCATATTTGTGGATGTTACTGATGATTAACGGGTTCGGCGAAGCCAGAGACGACAGTCGTGAGCCCTCCTGAGTGACGCACACGACCCGATCGCCGGCGCGCTCGCGGCTATCGGTCGCGCGCCGCTGCCGTCACGGACGACGTCCGCCCTCCTGACGCCTGCTCGCCCGTGACCGCACGGAACGTGCCGCGCGATGTGAATTTACCGTGCGCCTTGAATGTTTACGCTCAAAAACCGCTTCGACTTTTTTTTGACGGGGGGTGGGGGGGGGTTCGGTGCGGGGGGAGGGGTGTGGGCGGCGAGGAAAGTAAAACGTGCGGGTCTAGCGGAGTCCGCACATAGTTGCGTACGCGCGCACACGGGTACACGCGCGCACTTGCACATACGCGGCGTTTATTTCTACTCGACATCAAAGTCAGCGCCTCGGGGCAGAGCGAGTTGCGTTCAAACGGGTGGGGAGGGGGGTGGGGGGGGCAGTGGAGGGGGGTGGCAGCTTTTTCGAATCTACATCTAAACGATCCGATTGGCCACAACGAGGGCGCCAATTAAAGCGCCTAATTAGGGCCGTGCCCATTCACCGCTTCCCTGCGCGGGCACGGGGAGTTCTCCGCTTCATAGTGCGTTTGTCTTGGATATCAAAGCGCGTGCGGTGCTAAAAATTATAATCATTCCTCTTGCATTCACCCCCCTCCCCGTCCTGCCACCCGCGCGTCCGTGCGTGTGCCGTCACAATGCTTCAGCTGCCACAGCATACCCGCAGAGGACACCCCCAAGCACACCACACACACTCACACACCATACACACCACACACACCACACACACTCACACACCATACACAGCACACACACTCACACACCATACACAGCTCACACCATACACACTCACACACCACACACACACACCATACACACCACACACCATACACACCACTCACACACCATACACCACACACACCACACACACTCCCACCACACAAACCGCACACACTACACACCACACACACTCACACACCATACACACCACACACACCACACACACTCACACACCATACACAGCACACACACTCACACACCATACACAGCTCACACCATACACACTCACACACCACACACACTCACACACCATACACACCACACACCATACACACCACTCACACACCACACACACCACACACCACACACACTCCCACCACACAAACCGCACACACCACACACACCACACACACTCACACACCATTCACACCACACACACCACACACCATACACACCACACACCATACACACCACACACACTCACACACCATACACAGCACACACACCACACACACTCACACACCATACACCATACACAGCACACACACTCACACACCATACACAGCTCACACCATACACACTCACACACCAGACACTATACACACCACACACACACCACACCATACACCCCACACACACCACACACACTCACACACCATACACAGCACACACACTCACACACCATACACAGCTCACACCATACACACTCACACACCAGACACTATACACACCACACACACACCACACCATACACACCACACACACTCACACACCACACACACCATACACACCACACACCATACACACCACTCACACACCATACACCACACACACCACACACCACACACACTCCCACCACACAAACCGCACACACCACACACACACACACTCACACACCATTCACACCACACACACTCACACACCACACACACCACTCGCACTCACACACCACACACACCACACACACTCACACACCATACACACCACACACACTCACACACCACACACACTGACACCACACACACCATACACAGCACACACACTCACACACCATACACAGCACACACACTCACACCATACATACTCACACACCATACACTATGCACACCACACACACCACACCATACACACCACACACAATCACACACCACACACCCCACACACACCATACACCCCACACACACCATACACACCATAAACACCATACACACCACACACACACACCACACACACATCATACACACCACACAACCATACACACCAAACACACCATACACACACTACACACGACACACACACACACCATACACACTCACACACCATACACACCACACGCACTCACCACAAAGACAAGTGCTAGTTAGCGAGCACCTATTAAAGCCTGTAAGGCACACGAAGGGGTGGGTGGCCAGAACCACGCCTGCCCACCTTTGTCTCCCTCGTAGCGGTGTTTACGCACCACAACTTAGGCGAGGCCCAGGACCTGTTCAGATAATCGTCACCGGTGTTGACTGTGAGTGGGAATGGAACTCAGGTTGCCAGGTTCGTGGTTCACACTCAACGCACCCCCCTGAATTACACATCCCCAGCCGCATCATCCACACACTCCAACCTCCACCGCACCCCGCACACCCCCACACATCACTGCACCCCGCACACACATCAACGCACCCCGCACACCCCCACACACGCCCCCCCACGCCCCCCCACGCCCCCCCCCCCACGGGCCGCTGCCTATTGTGACGCGTCGGGCCCCTCTGTAGTGGTGGGGGCCCCGTGACGGTGACAGCTCTGATCGATCGCCCCCGGCCCCCCGAGTCAGAAGCCTCATAATGGCCGGAAAACTCCGGCGAGCGGTCGCCTCACCAACACCCGCCGCTCGCCCGCTGTGTGCCCGGCACCGGCCCCTCCCGCTGGTGGCCCGGGTCTGGTGGGGGAGGGGGGCAGGGGAGTGGGGGGGGGCGCGGAGGGTGGGGCCGGGTGCACGTGGTGGTGTCGCCCTCACCTTGCTCGCTCGCCCTCTCTGCGATCGCTAATTTGGCCGCCGCCAGAGGTCACGGTGCGCTTCCTCACGTTTGCTCGGATCAATTAGCGCTTCCGTGGCGGGCTGGCGGCGGCACAAGGAGGGGTGCGGAGGAGTGCCCAGGGCCTACAATTCTCGCAGCAATGTTCCCGGGTCGCTGCTAGATCAGAGGAAGCGGCGAGCGAAGAGAGCGGTAAGCCAGGGCCGCTGCGAGAGATTTGGATGTGGTGTGCCGGATGCGTAAATGTTTTCTGCGTTGCTGACGCGGCTGGAAGGAATTCCCCCCCGGGTGTGCCTGCAGCGTGACACACGCACGTCCGTGGTGCGGTGACGTCAGTCGGTGACACGGGGGTGTGTGCGTGCGTGAGTGTGTGCGTGAGTGTGTGCTGGTGTGTGCATGCGTGTGCGTGCGTGCGTGTGTGTGCATGTGTGTGTGCATGCGTGCGTGCGTGCGTGTGTGTGCGTGCGTGAGTGCGTGCGTGCGTGTGTGCGTGCGTGTGTGTGCGTGCGTGAGTGTGTGTGCGTGTGTGCGTGCGTGCGTGTGTGTGCGTGCGTGCGTGTGCGTGCGTGCGTGTGTGCGTGCGTGCGTGAGTGTGTGCGTGTGTGTGTGCGTGCGTGTGCGTGCGTGCGTGTGTGTGTGTGCGTGCCGCTGATGACTCAGCAGCAGGGTCCGCTGATCGCACGGTGGGACCGGTTGGTGGCCCGCCGAGGTGTGCAGCACACAGGTGGCGTGTGTCAGTGGCACACTCTGCAGTGCCACACGCACGCTGTCTATGAGCTGTCCTCCCCGGTGCGCGGCACCAGTGCCAGGCGCGGTGCACGTGTCATTGCCGGGACGGGCTGGGAAAACCGTCCGCTCGCGCTGGCGTGGGAATGGACGTTATGTTGCTGGGACTCACCTTCAATGAAAGTGCCGTGCGTGTAGTTTGATCATTGCCGTGTAATTAACGTCGCTGTGTAATACCCTCGGTGATTGATTGATTGAGGGAATTACCGGTTATGTGTGAACTGTGCTGAAGGGGATTTAAAAAAAAAATTTGTTTAACTGCTGAGCGCAGGCCCAGAACGTCAAGGGGCCGGAAACAAACAGCGCCGTCAGAGTTGTTGTAGTGAGAGTCCAACACGTTGCTTGAATTAAGCAAGATTATTGTTGTTATTGTTTTTAGGCGACCTTGGGTTGGAATTCCAAAGTGGAGCAGTGCGGTGTCAAAAGCGGAAGCAGAAGTGGTGCGACCTGCCGTGTGGTGAGTGTGCGGGTGAGTGTGTGAATGAGTGGATGAGTGTGTGAGTGAGTGGGTGAATGTGTAGGTGAGTGTGTGAGTGTGTGAGTGAGTGGGTGAATGTGTAGGTGAGTGTGTGAGTGTGTGAGTGAGGGGGTGAATGTGTGGGTAAGTGAGTAGGGGAATGTGTGGTTGTGTGAGTGAGTGTTTGAGTGGGTGAGTGAGTGGTTGAGTGGGTGACCGTGTGAGTCAGTAAGTGGTTGAGTGGGTAAGTGAGTGGGTGGTGAATGTGTGGGTGAGTGGATGAATATGTGGTTGAGTGAGTTGGTGGGTGAATGTGTGGGTGAATGTGTGGGTGAGTTAGTGGGTGAATGTGTGGTTGTGTGAGTGGGTGGGTGAATGTGTGGGTGAGTGAGTGTTTGAGTGGGTGAGTGAGTGGTTGAGTGGGTGACCGTGTGAGTCAGTGAGTGGTTGAGTGGATGAGTGAGTGGGTGGTGAATGTGTGATTGAGTGAGTGGGTGGGTGAATGTGTGGATAAGTGAGTGGGTAAGTGAGTGGTTGAGTGGGTGAGCGAGTGAGTGGGTGAATATGTGGTTGTGTGAATGGGTGGGTGAATGTGTGGGTAAGTGAGTGGTTGAGTGGGTGAGTGTGTGAGTGAGTGAGTGAGTGGGTGAATGTGTGGTTGTGTGAGTGGGTGGGTGAATGTGTGGGTAAGTGAGTGGTTGAGTGGGTGAGTGTGTGAGTGAGTGAGTGGGTGAATGTGTGGTTGTGTGAGTGGGTGGGTGAATGTGTGGGTGAGTGAGTGGTTGAGTGGGTGACCGTGTGAGTCAGTGAGTGGTTGAGTGTGGTGAGTGAGTGGGTGGTGAATGTGTGGGTGAGTGAGTGGGTGAGTGAGTGGTTGAGTGGGTGAGTGAGTGGGTGAGTGTGTGAGTGAGGCGGTCGGACGTGGTGCTGGCCACCCACCCTCTTGTGTGCCCTGTCGGCCTTCATAGGTGCTCACTAACAGCACTTGCCCCAAGCTATAAAGGGGGGTCTTTGTTTTGTGACCTACAGTGCCATGGTGGTTGAACACAGTGTGTATGAGACGAGTCCTCAACATGAAAGACTCAACGAGTGAAGTTCACGGGTACCGTAACCATGGCATCAGTAGCCATAGAAGAGTGACAAGGTGTGAGGATCCGGTGGGGGGCGGGGTGGGGTGGGGCGGGCAGGGGGTTGGGGGTAAGGAGAAACGACGCTCGACCTTTACTGCGTCTCACTCCACATCCGCACGCACGCGCGTACAGACACACACACGCGTACAGACACACACACACACGTATGGAACACACGCACGCTCACACGCACAGACACGTGCACGTATACGTGCATGCATCTTCACTTGCACAAACACGTATGCATGCATGTGCATGCATTTCACACACAGACCCCCCATATAACCTGTAACAGGCTGTCGGGGCAAGTGCTTTTAGCGAGCACCTGTGAAGGCCAGACAGGCACACGAGGGAGTGGGTGGCCAGCACCACACTCGACCGCCTTTGTCTCCCCAATGGTGATGTTTTCACACTCTACCAAGTACTCATTTGAGGAGTAGTCGACCTAGGGGAGGCCCAGGACTTGTTCAGCGTATCGTCCCTGGTGGTGGCCGTGACATTCACGAGTGTGCGCACAAACGTGCGCTGCGCTATGACCCTGGTGACCTGGGTTTGATTCCCTTTCATGGTCAACAACATTTGATGATTATTTGAACCAGGGAGCGGTAGTGTCTTTGTGGGGAGCGGTAGTGTAGTGGTTAGCACTCTGCACTATGAACCCGGCCACTTGGGTTTGATTCCCGCTCACGGTCGACACCAGTGATGATTATATTATCGGAGCAGCTCCTGGGCCTCCCCTACGGTGACTGTACCGGCCTGCATAGGTGCTCGCTAATAGCACTTTCCTCAACAGTCTGTTAAGGCAATGCCGGGGGATCTTTGTCTTTATCTGTGGTGTGGCGTGCGTGGTGCGTGCGTGGTGTGTGCGTGTGACGTGTGGCGTGCGTGGTGCGTATGGCGTGCGTGGTGCATGTGGCGTGCGTGGTGCATGTGGCGTGCGTGGTGCGTGGTGCATGTGGCGTGCGTGGTGCATGTGGCGTGCGTGGTGCATGGTGCATGTGGCGTGCGTGGTGCATGTGGCGTGCGTGGTGCATGTGGCGTGCGTGGTGCATGTGGCGTGTGTGGTGCGTGTGGCGTGCGTGGTGCGTGGTTCGTGTGGAGTGTGCGGTGCGTGGTGCATGTGGCGTGTGTGGTGCGTGTGTGGTGCGTGCGTGCGTGGTGCATGCATGGTGCGTGCAGCGTGCATGGTGCGTGTGGCGTGTGTACGTGGTGCTTGTGGCGTGTGTGTTGCGTGCTTGGTGCGTGCGTGTGGCGTGCGTGCGTGGTGCGTGCGTGGAGTGTGTGGTGCGTGTGGCGTACGTGGGGCGTGGTTCGTGTGGAGTGTGTGGTGCGTGTGGCGTGCTTGGTGCGCGTGGCGTGTGGCGTGTGTGGTGCCTCTGCAGTCGGCGAGCTCCCTCCACCTGATCTCGTGTCTCCCGCTCGCCCCACGTGGCGCTCAGACGGCATACACAGAGTGCCGTTGTTTACAGTCACAGGGGCGGCGGCGCAGCGGTTGGCGCGCCGCACCTCGGACCTTGCGACCCGAGGCCGACTCCCGCGCCGCGGCTGACATCTGAACCGGTCCTGGGCCTGCCTCCACCCTACGTCTTCACCAATCGCTACGGACCAGCCTGGTGAAGTATGGACCCACAACCCTCATGCCCAACGCGGTGTGGAGTGGGCTTCGACCAGCAGTGGGATTGACAAAGTGGTTGTGAATTATTCAGGTAGGAACAACAGGTTCCACCCTGCCCACCAGGGATTGTGTTTACTAAAACGTGTCGTTGTTCCTGCGTTTTTGGATGCTCTGATGTTTCGCAGGGTACCGCATCATAACGTGTTGCAATTTCCAGGATTCGTTTTGACACGTGACGAGCCGCGTCTGTTGTGACGTCACAACTGGCGTGACACCATAACGCGGGCGCAGGTCCCACACAGGGAAACCATTAAACTCCCGAACGCTCGATTCGTCAAAGTTAAGCTCGTAGGCTTCCCAATCCCCTGCCTTCTGCTTCACGTAATTCCTCGCAATTGAAACGCGTAAACTCCTCAAATGCGCGGCGCTAATTAAACCCGGGAGAAAGGCAGAGGCTTCAAGTCGGGGAACTTCCCCGCGGCGCTGGGGGCGCTCTCGGCAGGGCCCGTGCCCACCGCCTTCCTCTCGTACCCCGGGTGCGAGTCACCCTAGCACCGTGTCCCTCTGTGCCCGCTCCCCCCGCAACCCCATCCCCCACCCACCCCCACCCCAGCCACACCTCCTTTATTGTCCCGCGGTTTGTGACGGACGCCTGTGGCTCAGCGCTGGGGCTTTGCGAGATTCCGCGTCGTCGCTGCAACGGTTATGAAGGCTCTGTTGTGCAAAGTGGATGAAAACAAACACCACAATAAACCGGGACCATGTGGAGGTCGGGGAACTTGTGTGGAGGGGAGGGGGTTAGGTGGGGTGGGGGGGGCAGGGAGACTGGGGGGGGGTTATTGGAGGGGAGGGGGGCGGAGAGGGCGGGAAAGGGGGAAATAAAATTAAAACATATATCCTGCGCGGTTTCCGCAGGAAGCTGCTGGCATGGGTTCGGTTATCAAAGACGGCGCTGAGTTGTTGTAACGGTGGCGGCGGGCGGCGGCAGTCGACGGGCGCAGCACGAGAAATAAAGGGGGAAACAAAAAAAAAGAAATGGGCGATGGGTGGCTCGAGGCCAGCTCGTTGGGGGAGCGCAGTAATTACCGCTAACCGAGGGAGGCATTCCAGCAGCAGCCGCGCCGGCGAGACACAAACACGCTGCCGGTACCGTCCTCCGCTGTCTGTCTGGCGCAGGCGGGCCGGCGGGCCGGCGGGGCGGCGGCAGTCTGGGCACTAACGTGGAACAGGCGCCTGATTGCAAACACATGGCACGGTGGGGCGGGCAGGGGGGGGTCGGAGAGTGGGCGAGCGAACTGGGAGAAGAGAGAAAGATGAAGGGAGGGAGCGCGTGCGTACGGGAGAGAGGGAGCATTAGCGTGCGGGAGAATGGGAAAGTGAAAGGGCGGAATTGGGGAGAGCAGGGGGGAGCGGGAGAGGAGTACGCGGCTCGTGAGTGAAGATGTTGGCGATGGAGAAGAGGAGGAAGTGTGAGATGGGCGGGAGTGCAAGCGAGGGAGGGAGCGAGGGAGGGAGGGAGCGAGGGAGGGAGCGAGCGAGGGAGCAATTGACCTCTTGTTGTATTACAGGGGATGTGCAGCAGGGGTCACCGGCTGCTGTCGTTATCGCTGAGAGAGCGGCACTCGACGTGCGGCTGGGCGCGTGCTTCACAGGCGGGATGAGCGTCGGATCTGAAGAGAGTTCTGAACGTTGGGTTTTGAAGGTCGATTTAGTTTTTTGGATCGATTCAGCGATGCACTCGTTAAGATGTCTTCATCGCTAACCGTGGTGATGTCACCAAAATATAATGAACAAAAAAGTAATTGCCTTTATTTACCCAGGAAAGCAGCCCTCCCTGAGTCTCAATACCCATTGTTAGGAGAGTCCTGCTGCATTGGGACGTTCATCCCAGTCCCATGCATCAGAGTTTGATTTTGTGTTGGACGAATCAATAGCAGCCCAAGGCACCGTGCCACGTGCACTTTTGGATAACGCTCAAATCTCTGCACAAATAGACTCAGGAATCCATCGCTTGTCCTGCCACCTCTCAGCCCAAGCTGACAAATCCTGGTATTGCCGGGCAGTCTCCCATCCGAGTGCTAACTGGGTCCAAAGCCCTGCTGAGCATGTTATATTATCTCGAGGTGGATGTGGGGGGGGGAGAGAGGCGTTCGTCTCTCGGCTGCGTCGCTCACTTTCTCCTCGGTTGCGTGACCTGGTTGCGGGGGGGGGGGGGGGGGTGTGTGGGGTGGGGAGGGTGGAAGAGCGGTGAGTGTTAGTGGGGGGGGGGGGGGGGCAGTGGTGGGAGTTAGTGGGGGTGCATTGGTGGGGGTTAGTGGGGAGGAGTGGTGGTATTTAGTGGGGCGGGGGGGGTTGGTTGGTGGCGGGGGTTAGTTGGGGGGAGTGGTGGGAGTTAGTGGGCGGGGCGGTGGTGGGGATTAGTTGGGGGGAGTGGTGGGAGTTAGTGGGGGGGGGTGGGGAAAGTACCCCCCCCCCATTGACCCGTACGAGCATCGTCACCTCTCTCGAGGGGGCCATCTTTGGCGTCGGGATGAATTTTCGAAGATTTAGCGGGGGATTTTTTTTGTTGTTGGTCGGCGTTTAGGTGACTACATCGCAGGGGGAGAAAAGGAGCGCGGCGCATTGCGACACCGCGCTCGGGCGCACTCCGAGCACCCCCGAGCCGATGTGCCGAGCTCGGCGAGCGGGCGGCCGGAATTTGATTGTTTATGATGCAGGCATGCATCCCCCGTTGGTTTCTACTCCTGAAGGCCACGGTTCGTGCCGAATTCCAGGGAGTAAAGTTTCGCCGGGCTGACAGCCTCACGGAATCTGTGGCCCCGGCGCCCCCGGAAAGGGGCGGCCGCGGCGACTCCCACCGTTCGTATTCGTGCCCCCCCCCCCGTGCCGCGCTACAGGGCGGCACGCTGGTCGGTCAGTGGGTCGTTCGTTAGGTGACTCGTTCATTCTTTCGGTCGGTTATTCTTCAGTTGTTACGTCGGTCGCTCGGTCGGATGCCGAGTCACTCGATCGGTCGTTTGGTTTGTTGACCGGTCAGCGGTTCGCATGCTCATTCAATTGGTCAGTTCCGTCGTTGGGTCAGTCGTCATCCACGTGGTTCTGACGTCCCCCCCCGTGACCTCGCCGACTGCCTGCGGCGGACAACAAACCCCGGCCGATCGGCTTCGCGACCTTGTGCTAGATGCGTTTTTTCAGTATTATTTATAGTAAATCACATGTTATGCATATTTCAACAGTATATATAGTTGACATTTGTTGCTGTGCATCAACACACAGGTGACTTGAATAATAAAAAACACATTGAATCAAAGCAAGACGGCCTTGCTCACTCTTTGAGTTGCTCTTTTTAAATTAATGTTGCCATTGGCGCTAGTCGTGTTTCATAGAGACTGCTCATGTCAGGTGTACACGCTGCCGCTGACGCCGCTGCTGCCGCTGCCACTACTGCCGACGGTGGTGCTTGGGGCGCCCCAGAATTGTGCGTGGGGCGACCCCATCGCGTGGGCAGCTGAACCCCGAGGGTGGCTCCACGACTCGCAGAGAGGCTGCACCTCAAGTTCATTGTCAAAAGGTCGGCGGGTGAGTTGGGTGGGTGCGGTGAGTTGGGTGGGTGCGGTGAGTTGGGTGGGTGCGGTGAGTTGGGTGGGTGGGTGAGTTGGGTGTGTGCGGTGAGTTGGGTGGGTGCGGTGAGTTGGGTGGGTGCGGTGAGTTTGGTGGGTGCGGTGAGTTGGGTGGGTGGGTGAGGTGGGTGGGTGGGTGAGTTAGGTGGGTGCGGTGAGTTGGGTGGGTGCGGTGAGTTGGTTGGGTGGGTGCGGTGAGTTGGGTGGGTGCGGTGAGTTGGGTGGGTGCGGTGAGTTGGGTGGATGGGTGAGTTGGGTGGGTGCGGTGAGTTGGGTGGGTGCGGTGAGTTGGGTGGGTGAGTTGGGTGGGTGCGGTGAGTTGGGTGGGTGCGGTGAGTTGGGTGGGTGGGTAAGTTGGGTGGGTGCGGTGAGTTGGGTGGGTGCGGTGAGTTGGGTGGGTGCGGTGAGTTGGGTGGGTGCGGTGAGTTGGGTGGGTGCGGTGAGTCCGAGCCGAGGACCGCCGCGCGTCACTTCCTCGTTCCCGCGACGATGCGAAGCGGCTCCCGACGGGGATTGCCCCCAGCCCAGCTCCCACCCCCCACCCCCACTTCCCCGCCTCCGCCGCTCTCCCACCACACTCCTCCATGGCGTAGCGTGGCCCCGGTACGAGGAATGATCTGGGGCTGCCTACCCAATCTCCCCCTCGTCGCAGCGGTGGCACCGCCTGCACACTCTGCAAACTACGCCACTGATCGTCCTCCCGTTCCTCCCGTTCCTCCCTCGCCTGTGCAACCGAGTGCGCACGTATGCGCACGCGTGCACGGTGGCGGAGCCTCCGACTCTTGTGCCGCGCTAGCACCATGAATGCGTCTCTGTTAGTGCGTCGGCGCGCGGGCAACGCTGGCGCGCCATCAAAGCCGGAGTTGTCGTGCCACCGCGCAATTTTAACAGCCCCCTCTTCCACCACCCCCGAGAGTATGACATCACATCGCGCCCACGCACGCACACACAAAGATCCCCCGTATAGCCGTAACAGATTTTTAAGGAAAGTGCTGTTAGCGAGTAGCACCTATGAAGGCTGGCACGGCACACGAGAGGGTGGGTGGCCAGCTCCACGCCCGGCCGCCTTTGCCTCCTCAGTGCCGATTACACGTTGCACCAGGCACTTATTTAAGGTTTAGTCGACCTAGGCAATGCTTAGGAACGGTTCAGATATTCGTCACCGGTGTTGGCCATGAGTGGGAATGGAACTTGGGTGGCGCGGGTTCGACGTGCAATGCCCTAACCACTCTGGGCCACCGTACAGACGCGTACACATGCACAGACACGCACACACGCACACACGCGTGCAGAGTTTCAGCTGGTGTCTGCCTCCGGCTGCCCCGCCGCCCTTTTCCACATTGACGGGGCTTTTGTTTCTGAGCGGCTTTGCTCAATGCCTCGATACATCACTCGGCTTCGCTCGGTGTCCGCCGACGGAACGACTTGCAGCACAGCACACGGCAGATGCCTTCGCAGTGCGACTCGCGACCTCCTCTTGATACCAAGATCCAGGATGGTCACGTCTATGCACCGCTTCTCGGTGGCTGGAACGCTATCCCTCTGCACATTCGCAGCATCGCCTCAATCGTCTACTTCAAGAGACACTTAAAAACTCACATCTACAGCGACTCTGAGCTTGGCTTCGCGCCTCTTGAGTTGCGGCCGTTACGTCCGCAAATTTTGCGCGCGTTATAAATTGCATTATTGTTATTATTGATCGCCGAGTCGCCGTTGTCTAGAGATGAGCTTCGTTTTTTTCCAGTCGATGGTGGAAGGTGAATGGAAGGTGGACCTAGCGGGTGAGGGCCGGCAGTGAGGGGCGAGAGAGAAGAGCCGTTTTTTGGGCGACTGCACAGAAATGCCGCGTGCAACGTTTCACCCGTCTCTTTAAAAAAAGTCTCTGCGAGTTTTGTTTCACGCAAAAATAAGAGTTTTTTTTGGGGTTAGATCTCGTGAATATAAATGTATCGTTCAACCCGCCACCTCCCGACGCAGCCAATTAGTAAGCTTTGTTACGTAAACAAAACATGCCAATTAGTGACTAGTTCAGCACACCGGTGTGTTGGAGAGTGTGACGTTTCGCCGTTAAATATAACCAGCCTCGCATCGAGACGATTGCGAGCGTGGGTGCGCGCCCGTGGACACGGGCCGGGAGGCGGTG